GGGGGTACATTACGTATTTTTATATAAATTGTGGAAAATTTTATTTTTTAAGTTATAAACTTTATAACACACATATCTCACCATTTGTATAGTGACACGTGGTGTACCATCCCGTGTACCAGTCATACTGAAAAATTTCTCGAACTTTGGGTGGTGTAATGTATGTAATCACATTTAAGTATAATTATCTACTTCAATGTAATAAGATGTTCACAACGTAGTCACCGACCTTGTTGTAGTAATAACTTCATTTTTTGTATTAATATAACCATATCATAATCATATTATACGGTCTACCTATATAAATATCTATAAAACAAGACATTACTCATGTATGGATACAAAATGTATGTATGCATTTAGGTTCCGTCTACAATACCTAAATAAAAAATGGGTAGTGCTATTCACACACATCTTTTTACCTCCCACACACCCTTGTTAATTTTTGTCTATTGATCTTCTTTAAATCATTTGATCCGATAGCTAGAAATTAAGAGGGGTGTATGAAAGGTAAAAATGGTGTGTGAATAGCACCACCCTAAAAAAGAAAAGATATCAGTACCATTTAATTTGAATGTTAAATTGTAATCAATAACGTCCAACTATAATATACTACCTTAACAATGTAATCTAACATCCACACCGTAAAAGGCAACCTTGGTATAGTAATATTAGTGTCATTTGGTGTAATTAATATAACGTTCTGAAAATTATGTAACCTTGGCGTGTAAATTTGAATGATTACAGTGTAACCTAACCTTAGACCTTGTATGTTAATATCATGTTGTAACACGGTTACAATATTGTGTAAGTTCATAATGTTCCCTAGCAATCATACATCTATATTCTAATCGTACGTCATTGGTATAATAATAAATGTTAATTTTGTAAGTCTATCATGTTGAAGTACAAAAATCTAGCTGCCTTGACAATGTAATAGAATGTCCACAATGTAACCACCAACCTTGTTATAGTAATAATTGCTTCATCCTTTAGTCATTAACTTGAACCTTATCATAATTATATAACCTAGAGTGTAATTCTGAACTATCATAGTGTATCTTAAATCGTACTAATACTTTTTTTTTTAATAAGGTACCATATAGAATCTTCCTATATTTATGATAGCCCTTATAATCAAGTGGCTGCTAACTAATTAACATGGTGATATAAAATAATTTTCTTAAAACATAATTTCATTAACCACTATGAATTATGTAATTATCTGTGTATTGTGCAAGGCTCCCTTTGGATATTTGAGAACACGTATTTGGATTTGACAATAAGGTTAACTAAATTTTCCAAAAAATATATTAGATTGAATGTATTTGTTATAACTAGATGGTGTACATTTGGAATTAGTGAATCTAAATGCAAGTGGTCCTTTACCATAGTGATGGAAATGTGTTGAACCCTTATGAGTTCGAACTCCATCGATGGCTAATCTAACATCTAATCTCACAAAATCTACTGTTAGACAAAAAAAATCTAAATAACTAGCTATGTGAATAGTTTGAAATCCAGTTGTTTCATCCATATTCCTTCATATTCAAACCCTAGCATATATTAATATGGATTAAGCAAACAAGTTACCCCTTTAAATCATTAGATTTGAAAGCACTCTCCATCCAAATCGGCCCTAATGAAGAATGCTTGTAACTATGTATGATATAGTTTATGTAAGATTGACCTGGGAGGCAGAAACTCTCCTCTTGTTCTATCTTGTACGTGCACTGCATCTAACCAAACCGCATCTAACCAAACCATTTGTTTATTTGCTGGAACTTAATTTGGAATGGTAAGAAAATCCTTTGGGTATTTCGACACTAGATCAAGGTCAACCCTAAGTACGCGTTTGATTATTTTTATTTAGTGTTATCGGAATAAGTCACAGTCAAGCTTTAAATTATTTTTTTGCCAGAAAGAAATAATTCTGCAGATGATCAGACTTGACTCCAGTACTTCGTTAAAAAAAACGACTTCAGTAATCCAAGCTACACCAAGCTTAATGCATGCATGTATATTCAGTTTAACTTACTAATTAATTTGTTTAAACAATAGTGATATCTTGCGCGTTTAATTGTTGGGAACTTGACTCCAACTTCTAATTCGTAAGAAGACCAGTCAATACTGCTGGAATTCAGTTTTGAGCCAGTCTTTTTTTATCCATAATGTCCTAACCTAATTTTCTTGTCAGGTGGGTTGGACTAGGAAATGCTTATATGGTTCCAGGCTACAAGATCCAGCTGACGATTAGGGCTTTGAGTTTTTTGGCCCAAGGGTCATCTCTTGCTTCTTTCCTCAATTTGTTGGGCCATTGATCTCTACCCCAAAATTTGCTTAGTTAACTAATTTATTAATTAATTGAAAGGAATGCTCAAATGCTAACTAGTTAGTAACTTAATATGAAGTTAACAATTCTTTATGGCCTGCTCCACAAAGTAATCTCATTGATTTGAACTGTTCATTTTTTAGGTTCTTATTCATAAATCATTTTGCAGAAATTCATCCAAAGTGGAAATCTTTAGCCCTTTAATCATTATTGTGAACATTTCAAGGTTTATCAACAACATTATGTTCATATATTTCTCAACTCCCAATTAGAACTAAACATCTTTCGATTTTAGTGAGAGTTTGTAAGATGACCTTTTAGTTATGACCTTAAAAAGGGTCGGTTCAGATTATGAAAAATATTGTAAAATATGTCTAAACAAGTAGTTAGCGCCGTATTAACTTACTAATTGTAAGTCAAAAACCGCTTTAGGCTTTCATGAGAAAGAATGATAATGCAAACCTGAGTTAACCCAGTTGACTATAATAGTGTAGATGTCTTCTTGCTCTTGAGTTTGAATCCCCTCTTCTTTTTTTTGTCCCATGTCTTTAACTCACCGATGTACTCACCACACTGGTAAAAGTACTCATCTTCTACCTCATGTGTACTAAGAAAAAATTACCATGATATACAAGACATGAAAGACATTAGATTCATGCGTTATGGCCAATTTCTTCCCATTTTACTTGTTAATTCTCAATATATAGATTCATAGAAGTACCTGTACCAATTTAGAGACATCAAAATGATAATATTGGCATGTACTATGGACTGGAGACTATAGTTATTACTCTTGCTAGCTTTCCTTTGTATCTTCATGTTATAAGTCAACTCGGATATGTTATTGTTTTTCTATTTTGGTCAAGGCACAACATTTTAAAGTAAAATGAGTCATGCAATGTCAAGATCAATATCTATATTCTGCAACAATATAATTAGAGTAGGAAAAAGAAATACTCAAGTTCTTGATCGCATATTATGCTAAAAGACAATCAAATGGACGGCCAATTAATTGCCACTATCTCAAACACTCAAACCATAAGTCTCAACCACACCAACCAACTCATTACAAATTGATAACCCATAATCCCCTCCCCCTCCCCCTCCAAAAAACAAATAAGAGTTTGGCCAAATTGGATTAATGGTACTTGTGGTGATAAGGTATTCGGAAGAGAGTCTGTGTGTTAAAAAAATTAGAATTCAAATCCTCCCAGTGAAGATTGGTAGCAAATTTAATCCAAAAGTGGAATTTCCTTTAAATATTGTTAGATGCAGGGATAAAAAAATGTCTATCACCACTCTTTTTTCTGTTTACCTTATTCTCTTCTTCATCTATCCCCTCTTTGTAATTGTAGCTTCGTCAAATCTCTGTTAGCAGCAGCATCAAAATTGTGGGAATGGCCGTGAGCTTGCCGTCTCCGCCACTTAACCCATCTCTCACCCTCCTCCAAATCCACAGGTTGAAACTGGAGTCAACAATGGAGATCTCGATGCGGAGGAGAAGAAGCCTGGTATTATTTCTTCATATTTTGATGACCTCCATAGCACGAACAACATAGAGAAGTTCAAGATATATGAAGCTGACTATAGGCGTTGGTTGACTGCAAAATACTTCTCAAAGAAGAACCTATATGGAGAGGCAACATCTTTGATGAAGAGTGTGACAATACATGATAAGGTTATAAAGTCAAGTAGATTTCCTTGCACCCGCTCATATGCAGACCCGATACTTGAGTACATGAACCTAAATTTTTTTATGCGTGCATCTAACTGATATTTGACGGAAAGTTTAACTTTTAGATTAAATTTGTTAACGGTCTTCTCCACGAGGGTTTTAATTCTAATTTCTTTTACCATGAAGCCTATCTTCTTGGTACCCTATTACCATGGAGACCATTAATTCGATTTGGCCTAAGAGTTCTACATAACTTGTAACCCTAAACTAGTCTCCCGTGCAGAAAAAAGGTTCTAAAGCGAATGTATATACAAGGTTTTCTCTCACAATAGTTAACTACGTGATTAGTTAAAAGACGATTATAATGTGATGATTCACTTAGAAATTATTAAATGGTAATAGGTTGAGGATTCCTTGTAAGCTAACATTGGAATGTAATTCCTAGGCTTAGGCCGCTTGGCTATCAATACTATAGTGGTCTAAAAACCAATAGAAAATGGTCTTCCACTCTGTGCAACAAGAACACGAAAACTAAATCGCCCGATCAACTTATCCATGGAGCCAAATGGCCTTAATCAAGGTTAGTACAATTGTGTGTTTTAATTGCACGAAATACTAAATTAACCACAAGCGCCTGTCTTAGAGAGATTTTTTCAGGATGATCGGCACAAGAGGTGGTACACCACTAATCGTTATACAAATAGTAGGATATATGTGCTAAAAAGTTAATAATTTAAAAAATAAAATTTCGTACTACTTGTATAAAAACACTTCATGTTCCCGTTACAATAAAAAATTTCTCTATATCTTGGGCCAAATATTATAGTTTTATATTAGAATAGGAGTATCTAATGGAGAATCAAAACTAATGGTAAAAAAACTAACTAATTTTAAAACAAAATCTTGGATAACATAACATATAAATCATCTATGTGACAAAAGCTTTTAATTTTTTTGGATGGCTTTTACCGAGATTCGATAAATAAACTCCATATGGTACACTCTTGTTAAGAGAGAGAACCCCCTCGTATGTATCTCCCAAAAGTCTCAAAGTTCCAACCGATCACTCGTTGTCTAGTAATTGAACAAGACACCAATGCCGGCCTCCAACACCCAAAACTCCCAAAAGAAAACAGAGTCTCTCTTTCTCTTCTTGCTCTTTCCTCGTTTTGACCAAAACCTTAACCCATTTACCTCCTCCGATATATGTAACCTTCAAAACCCAATAATTATCCCATCTTAAACAAGCCCGTTTAGGCGTTTCTTTTTGTTGTTGTTAGCAGGCAATGAAGAAAAACGTCTCGAAGTCAAAACCCAAGTTTTTGCACTGTTTCCGACCGGTGGACGTGGACATGGTGTTCGAGACCAAAGCTGTCCGGAGGAGACAAGTTCGGACTGTCGAAAACAAGGAGGACAAGAAGGCCGCTCTGGTGACGAAAACCATGTCTCTGGACAGAGGGTTTTCTTCTCCGGCGGATTCTGAGAACTCGAAAATGTCTCCTCGTCCGAGCCGAACTTTTTCGAAGGCGGTGAAAGCCGTGGTGTTCGAAACTATCCTGGTCAGTGTTCTGAAATCCTTAATCTTTGATGGATTATAGATTCTGGGATTTTTTTTTGTTTTTTTATTTTAACAATGTTTTTCTGTATTTTGCAGGCGAAGAAAGCTCGTGATCGGAAAGTATGCCGGCAGGACTCGTTCGGATCAAAGCGGTGTTTTTCGCTCAGAAGTGAGGCGTCTCTGAATTTGGGAGGCGATGAGTCGGTGAAGAAATTTGAAGAAACAATACCAAATTCTGAAATGTCATTACATTCTCGTTCTTCCAGTTCATCATCGTCCGCATTATCTTCTTCGAGTTCGGTTTCGGAATCCAAAAGGTTGTCCAAAACTTTCTCGGACCCGACGAAACAGAGCCTCCGGAATCCTCAAAACCCCGCGGCGAAACCAAAGAACACGGAAGTGAGGTGCTCCGGTTTCAACTCCGGAACATATTTTCTTCTCATCAGCCTTGCAGTGACGGTGTTTTGGGGCAAGGCGATTGCAATCCTTGTCTCATCGATTTGGCTCTACTTTTTTCCGTCGCGGAGTTCATGTAAAATATCGCCAGAAAATGTGAGGAGGTGGTCGGAGGCGGAGTGCAGGGACAATAACAAGAGGGTAATAATGGAAGGGTTGATTGAGAGGAAAAACCACCTCCACCACCACCAGCAGGGGGAGAGAGGGCAGTAAATTTCGACGTGAAAATTATCTGTTTCGTGTTTGATGCAGCTTCTGGTTGGAAAGGACATCAGGGTTTTAATTGTGTAGGTGCCTTGTGGTACATGAGGAGAAAAACAGAACAATCTGTATTTACATTAACTTCTCCTCTGTTTTGCTTTCTTTCTTGTGACCTGTGACTTTTATGTGGTTTAAGTTCTATAGCCATGCCACAGAAAATTGGAAGTGGTTTTTCGTATTTGCGTTTGTTTGTGAAGAAAATCTTGGTTGTAACTAAACCAGGGATATCTCTTAGGCTACAATTTTTATATTTAATACGCAACCAATGAGTATCTCTTGCTTTGCTTTCGCTCTCTTGTAGGCGGGTACTCTTCAATCACAATATAAAGACGCCTCACTCATCATGTGATTTATCGGTGACAAGGTAAAATCACTCCTAATTGTTGTTTAGGCAAATTTGAGAAACATCCAATACTTATGAGATTTGGCACACCATATCTTCACGATGTTGATTTGAGAAGTCAAAACGTTAATAAAAACTTGTGCATAACCTTGTAAATTGAGATAAATTTCTATATAATGTCTGCCTAGAGTAATTCTCTCACATTAAGTGAGGTCAGTATGGGGCCAAATGTGATCAAAATGAACAAGGTTTTACACTTCCGCGAAACCCTAAAAAAATAGAAGTGGATCTGTGTATTTAATTGTGAAAAAATGTGATCAAAATCTCAGTTGTAATTGGATATTTATCCAAAGACGTGAATCTATATCCAATATGCAATCAAATGATTTCCCATGCTTTGTTTTTACTCCGCTCATGTACTTTGTGTCCCTTACTTGCAACATACGAGTGTCTCATTCGTCACGTGATATCTCTATTCATCAGTGTGCTTTCAACCCCTTTATGGTGTCAATATGAGGTCATTGTCTAGACAAATTTGAGAAACACTCCATGCTTATAATATTTGGTACACCATATACCACAATGCGGTGGATTTGAGCAGTAAAATCTTATAAAAACGTGTACATAAACGGCAACTGATGCTGATGCGCACATTGCACATTTTTATATATTTATTAAAGATACTTTTCTTTTTCTAATTTCTCAGCATTATTTATTGAGGAGGTTCCAAAGCATCTCTCCCATGAAGGATCAACTTAGCTATCAATACACTATCTGTTTTTGTCCATTTTGGTTGGTGTTTTGGCCATATGAATGTACCTAAATAGGGAAAAATGGCCTCCTCGATTTTAACCACGCAATTGATCCCATGCCAACATCGAAAGATCTTAAAATTGAAAAATTTTGCAATGTGTTAGGAACATAATTTTGTATACAAAGTGTCATAATATAAATGGTTGTAAATTTTTTTCTTCAAATATTTAACCACTTATATTAAAAAATTTAATATCTAAAGTGTATTTCCAGCACACTAAAATATTTCCCGTCAAAATTTGAATAGCATTAAAGATCCAAAGAGGGATACAATTCTTTACTACCCTACCAAAATCCATAATGATGGTTTGATTTGATTTGGAAACTTCTTTTGTCAAAAGATTACTGGGCCATTCATAATATTAATCTCAGTATATTAAATGGGTGTTTGCCACGTGGATTGTAGGTAGTTGAAGTAATCGTTTCGTGTGAAGTTGTAATGTTAAAGTAAAATGGTTAAATAATTTTATTAGCTGATATTACATGTATACATGACACATCATGTGATTCTCAAATGTGATACACACATGTAGTCTTTTTAATATTCCAAACAAAGCATGAGAGAAGTATTGATTTGGTTTATGATCTAACCGAATTATATAACTTATCAATTGTAGAGAATGAGAGATTCTTAAATGTCATCAGTTATATATTTATATGTGCTTGTTTCTCTCAGCAAACGAACTATTTGATAAGATAATACATATAATTATATACAATATGTGATATAAATAGATTTTTTGACAAGAAGGTAGAAGAGTGCAAGGTATCATAGATTCATATATGGTTCAATGACCAATGACTGTGCTATTACAATGTTTGAGCCTTGAAGTTTTTTCCTTCCCCCCTCTTTCTTTAATTAAAGGGAATATTTGTGCTCGTCATTCTCAAGTAATAGTAATGTTAATCACTTTATTTATTACCATGAGATGAGTTTATATTTCGAGATTTGTATAATAGATTGATATAAATTTTAACATTTAAACTCATTCAATTGTAATAAATAAGCTAATGAGCATTACCAATATTTAAAAGTACTGAAAAAAAAATACACCCTTAATTAAATCAAATCAAAATAAAACGGTTGTCTTTTGCTCTTTTTCTCTACTTTGATTAATAAAAGATCAAGTGGCTCGGCAGGGATTTATTTAAGGTGTTTATGTCTTTCAATTGAAAAAGGAAGATCAGAAAGAAAGGGACAGAGTGCTCTGCTTTCATCTAGATATTTATTGCAAAAGCTAGAGAAAAAGATAAGTGTTAGGTCACTTACTTAATAAAACCCCAAAAAATCTCACATATTCCTTTTTAGGCATTCAACAATTAATGGAGAAAAACTTCTATGGTACGAGTATATTGTTATGATAATGTTTTGTATCAATAATACAAGTGTGGAATAAAAAATAATTCAAAAAAATCATGAAGCTGACATCTGAATGTTTATTCACAATTAACGAGAATAACCTTTATTAAATTAATGAGGTCTACATCCGTTTCGCGTGCAATTCAACTACAAGAAGACCTAAGCCACATACTACACTTTCCTCCAAGCTCATATGTTCATGGCAAAGAGATAAGCCAAGAGAATTAAAAGTAAAATCAATAACTAATTCTTACCTTTAATTATTTTTGTCGGCAAATACTTAATTCCTCTATTCAAAGAAGCATAGTCAAATCCAATCAACTATTCTACGAGATAATTCTAAGATAATATCTTTGAAATTATTTCATGCTTCATTCAACAGATGACACATTTTGGTCAATTAGATGGTGACATATGATGCGAGATCCATCACTCCATGGTTGGCCCTAGTTCCTATAAATACCTCATTCTATACCAATTTTCTGGTAAGCTTGTGCTATGCAATTAAGCGCTAAACTCTATCTTTTCATAGAAACTGATTTATCTATCAAAGATCTATTAGCCAAACACCCAAAAAAAAAAAAAAATTAGGTGCGTGTGGCTTTGGTCTTTGATCAAAGTTGTTTAATTGTCCTGTAAGTACAATTTTATCAAGACTGAAAACGATGAATTCTTGCTATTACAACAAGTATATGTAGAGAAAAACAACATTGACCGTTTATTGTCAGCACAAAATATCAATGTGGCAATATACCTATAACATACAAGTCATTCTCAAACTTAATAGGCATTAAGGCAGGCACTGCAACTCTGCCGTATGGCAGTTTCTTAACACCAATACAAGTCATAAGAGATGACTGGATGTAAGTACAAACCAAAAAAAGAGGGCACAAGAACAATAATGGATACAAAAAGGAACCCAACTCTTTGTTTTGCAGCCTTAGAGTTTCACATGTTCCTTGAGATTTAGTTAAAGGCTTTTGCATCAATAGCAAGCCACGGGATCAACCCTCTCGTGGCAAGGGATTTTTAGTTATCTTCGGTTTCATATCTCCTTTTGTCTAATTGTTTTATCAAATAATCATCAAGTTACGTGATAAGAGACAAAGACACGAAGAGATTCTCTCCTCCTGTGACATGTACACTTTTCATGGAATTCTAGAACAAAGATGAAAAAGGAACATCACTAAATCAATTTCAATTTGTTATCTAAAAACTAAGACACAGAACAGAAGAACAGAAGAGTCCATCTCCTTCTCCCTTTACCCTTTACAGATCCTTATCCATTTACAATTCTTCTTCCCTTTTCCAATTTTCGCTATGTAGGCCAACTCAGATTTCAACATCAGTTCACTACGCAGGCAAACTCAAATTCACAAAACCGGAAAGAGATGGTATTAGTTGTATGTAACCAGTTATGATGTGTTTTTCGAGAAATGAAGAACTCGTAATCTGGCTGCCTGTTGGAGACCATGACTTGATCCTTGCAAACGCAACCTCTTGCAAAACATAATGCATCATCCTCCAATGTTCTGAGCCTTTCTTTGAGAATTTCTGCACTGTTAGTAGTAGATTCATTTGAAGAATGTCAGAAAGGCGTTTTGGGATCAAACCAGCAGTCACCTTACAAGAAGAATATCCAGAACAAGTTTCTAAGCGGGACTATATCAACAAGTATCAAGAGTGAGCGAAGAGTCTATGCATGAAAAGTTTAACTTTTAGTGTTTCCCGACACTTGCGAACTGTCACGAAGCGTGGTTTTATGCTCATCAGTATTAATTGTTGATGTCTTTTAATGGCTTCCAACCCTTTCAGTGACTAACTGTTACATAGAAGGAGTGATACTGACCAAAATCTAGAGCATGAAAGACACGGTATTGATTTCTTACATGTGCATTGTGGCTTTGCAATCCTAACACAGGGCGGTGACTTGTGTACTTATTGGCAAGATCTACTGAAATAGGTCTCCGTACAAAATGTCCAAGTGAATGGTAAGTTAAGAATGTTGCACGCAAGTTCCCTTCTGGAATTCGATACAAAGGATACTAGGCCACCGAAAAAACCTGAAAGCCAAATTAACCCAACTTTCTTCACTACGCTAAACAATTAGTTATATATAGAGAAAATTGAGTAGAAAAACTGATTGTCACCAAGACTCAGGATGTAAATCGTGCAAACTCAGACAATCTAGCTTTGATGGATCACCAAACATGTGATGATAGAAGTTTCAACGTTGGTTAGCTCCAGAATTCTGCAATCAAATAGGAATATCTAGGTATTAAACCAGTGACATTGTATGTCAGAAACAAAAGGATAAACAAGCAAATAAGAGAAGTGAGGAACATACAGAAGACCAAAGCATGAAACTCAATTAGGAACCAACATAGTTGTTATGAGCACTTTTTGAGTTCTTTGAGCGCATGCCGAGATTCTTATATGTAACCTGTGTATAGGACATCGGGCAATTTCTCACAGCCCAATCAACTTACTTTTTTCCCTTCCATTGTTGTTTCAAACATGAAACAACCATATCGTATCATTATTTTTATATTTTAAAGGTTCATTTCTATATCTCTGAGTTTAGAGGTCGCACTTGGTGCGATGGCAAGTGCCTTCGCCCATGAGTGGTAGGTCTCGGGTTCGAGACTTGGGAGCAGCCTCTCCATAAATGGGGGTAAGGCTAGCCGACATTCACCTCTCCCAGA